GCACAGTGGCGGCTCATCCAAGCACTCGCCAGGCCCAACGCTGCTTAGCTCCCGAGATCTGACGGTATCCGGCGCATGATGGATGATTTGGTCATTACGTGTGTTCTGCATTGTACGTGTTATACACTGTAGGTGCAAAACAACACGAGCAGCAGACAGCAGGTATCCAGTATACACGAGGAGGCTGCGGTGTGCTGGTGCTGCTGCTAATCATGTGCATCGGAGGAACGAGGGCAAAGGTGACGGAATACGGCCGAGCGTTCATTAGGCGCTTTGTCAAGATGGCTCGGCTCGGCTGCCGGCAAAAGGCCCTGAGAACGGGATTAAGATCAATTCTTAAGCTCGAGAGAATCGCAGTTTGTCAGATTCACCCGTTGTGGTCCGATTCGCACATGCAGTATGTCATGAGTTGACTTTCCCCCCGCCCCACCCCTGCTTGACATATCCTCGAGATTGCAACATTCACCGCAACGTGAACAAACAAAACAGTGTATCGATGTCTTCATTAATCGAATCGTGACCCTGATTGGCGACAGCAGACGGCATGAATCATTGTTTACGCTCCTAATTCACGCACACCTGCCCGACTCTGCTGATGAGACACTGTACATGTCGAAGCCGGTCCAGAGTTTTGCTTGTACTGCATTCAATGCTGATGAATGCATGCACTCCCAGAAGAAATGCTTGTGTTTGTTACGTGGAGAGACGGATGCGAGAAGGAGACGTCGTCTCCGCTTTGTCTGCACTGTTATTTACGCCTTTGAGCAGTGGCCGAGTTACTGGAGCTGTCCACTCGCGTCTGGTGCTGAAACCGACCTCGCTCAGGCACGCCGTGGCGGGCGTGCTATTGTACTCATGCGACTCAAGCTATGGACCCCTATTGTAAACCACTGAAGTCCGCGCTCGTTCGGCCGAGGAGGAATATCAAAACTACATTAACTCTCCCCTGAAGCGCTTTCGTCCTGGTGCGCAGACCTCGACATTCGGCATTTAGCTCCTGAACATATTGCTACGCGCTAGAATAGATTATACCGCGCTGCACGCGCGTGTGAGGCCAATGGGCAACGTCGGGGCAAGGTCTGGCCAAGGTAAGGCAACGCTCTCACTGGGCGAGTTTCCTCGGATTCTCTGAACGCGATGGGTTCACAGTGCACTGGGCTACGGAATTTCGTACTGTATTGATTCATGTACAGTAATTACACGCGTGATTTGCCCATGTTATACATTGCAGTGCGCAATACATGGAGAGTGGCGATGCATCAATTTAATATCGATTTCTAACTCGTCATATATGCTGGCTCGATGCGTATGTGTAAGAATCGACGTATTTCGGTTTATGCAAACGACCAGATAATATTATTCAGGCTAAAGCAGGGGAAGGAAGATTATGCATAGATGCAAGACAGTAAAAACAAAAAAATATTAATGCAAAAAGAGACAGTAGAAACAATACGGAATAGCGTGGATTCTTGAACCTAATCACGGCCCAGGGATTGTGAGAATTAATAAAATCGCCAGGGGGAGGTGTTGGGAGGGAGTGATACGATCATTATACCCGTTTATATCATAAACGCTACGCGTGTGTGCGTGTAGCGTGTTGCAGGGAGTGGTAGCGCAGTGGTTAGCGCATTGCGTTACGAACCCGGCCACCCGAGTTCGATTCCCGCTCACAGCCAACGTCGGTGACGGATATCTATCTGCACCAGTGCTGGGCCTATCCTAGGTCCACTCAGCCTTAAAATGAGTACCTGGTGCGGTGTATAAACATCAGCAACCGTGGAGACAAAGACGGCCGGGCGTGGTGTTGGAAACCTTCCACGTCGTGTGCCGTGTCGGCCTTCATATGCGCTCGACAACTGCATTTAGCCTCTATAGCCTGTTAAAGGGCTACACTGCTGGGGGACCTTTGTCTTTGTGAGGGTACACGCGAGTGCTTTCCTCGCGGACGTGCCGGCGGGTGTGTTGTTGTTGTTCTTGTCGATGTCTGTGTTGGTGATGTCTGTGTTGTTGATGTTTGTGTTGTTGTTGACGTCCGTGTTCTTGTTGTTGTGATTTCGCAATATAAACGCGTTCTCGACTGCCCCGCTGTCCATCACCACATCTGCGGGCGGGCGGGCGGGAGCTTCTGGAAATGGCGAGCGAAGTAAGAACGTGTCGGTGGAGTTCTACGTGAGCGGAATGTTTGTGCGTTAGGGTGGCGCGGCATTTTTTTTTTATCTCGGTGTTCGCTACGTGACGTCACTGGCGAGATTTTTTGTGTTTCAAGCTGGGGGAAGACACTGTACTGTACAGTATTGGCGTCCGGTATGCCACGTTCATTCACGCGCTCCTTTGGGCTGCGCCGCCTTGCCGCCCTTCCAAGGAGGAGGGAACGGCGATGGCGCACGCGTTACCCGCGGCGCAGGGACGAGGGGACGAGGAGACGAGGGGACACGGGAACGAGGGGACGCGTCTCGTCTCGCGTTGCGCCGCGCCCCGCCAACAATCGGGCGGGGGGGGGGGGGGCTCACGGACACAGCGACTACTTACTCCTGGCAACAACAACCAAATAAAAGCGCCAAACCTTGGATTGACAACACAAGTATCACGTGTTCTCTCGCGTTCCCCCCTTCTTCCTTGGTCCCAGAGTGCCTTCGCTGGGTACCAAATGAACCCTATCCGCTCTCGGCGCACTCTTCACCTGTCCCCCCCCCCCCCCTCTTCGATTTGGGTCCCGGAATGTCCCTTCATTCCCTGTGCCCTTTACCTGACGTCTGTGTCATCGCTTCTCTGTGTCCCACCCCTTCTCCGTTACCCTTCCCATGTGCCTCTCCGTTCTGCCATCCTCTCCGCGTCCCTCCCTAATCCCTGTTTCCCTACTGCCCGTGTCGCTCCCCTTCCCTCTGTGTCCCGGAATTCCTCCTCCATTCTCGCTGGGTGCACGCCGTCCCCGCGCGCGAGTGCCGGGGCGTCACGGGACTTCAGTCACATTTCTCCCGCAATTACCATCACCGTGGTGACAGCGCAAATCGTCAGGCGACAGGACAACTTGACAGCTTAGCGCAGCGCGTGTGTCGGCGGCGCGTGATGTTGTGCGTTTTCGTGGCCAACCGCGCTAACGACGCTTGCCGTACATCGTCACAAGCGAGTTGAGGTAGGGAGGCGATAACCCACGCAAACAGATGCGAGTGCTACCCCCTCGTATGCTTAGTGGGGGTTTTCTCCGGGTTCTATGATTTTGTCCAGATATGAAGCCAACCATTCATCAATTTATCCCCCGTAACACGACCCTCCTGATAAGAACTCTTGACACTCGATAAGGATGTCATGGGTAAACATCCTTCCCACCTGGCGTGGATGGCACACGTGAGTCATTCAGACGGTGATCTGTATTTGTATAAACCAGGGCGCTGCACATTCAGACAGGTCTGGCATTGCAATAGGAGCCGCGGGATGAATATTACCAGAAACGCAGACATAAGAGAAAACGCGATTAGCATTCTGTGCAAAACGAACAGAGCAGAGTTTGGCGGTCTCTCTGTCGCTCTCTCTCCCGTCTGCATGCATGGCTCTCCACTGTCACCACCGCGCCCTGCCTGGCTGTGGCCACGTTGTTGCAGTGTACTGTATAATAATGCAAACACTGCAATAATGAATAACAAACTTCCTTTTCTTGAATCCATGATAGCTTAATTGAGCCTCAAAACTTGTTCAGGTGACCGGGGGTGGCATTGGCTTTGTTTGGTCAATCCTGTTGCACAGGCTGGTTTTGTGTGCGGGATTAAATCGGAGATCCCGGAGAAAACTCAACCACTCACGCGAGGGGATACCATTCAGAGTTCCGCGCGGACGCGACAGGAAGGAAGAGGAGCCCATTTGCTGCTTTGCTGCCATCCTCTGGCCACCTCGCAGCCCATCGGGTGTGTGAATCGCAGATCTGCGCCGTGCGTGCCCGCGATCTGCGCCTTCGCGGAACCGAACGCGCCACGCGCATCGTGCACGACTGCATGCGCCGCACGTGCGCTACGGGCTACGTGCGGGTCTGTAAGGCGACCGCGCGTGTGCGTAACAACGCCACTCCAAGCACTCGATGAGCAGACCTCGTGTACCCGTATGTCGCGATGATCAAATCACTCTGAATCCGGCGAATCTTGTCCGATATCTGAAGCCAAGCGGTTTTGAGCCTGGCTAATCCTCGGTGTCAACTTCAGTCTCCAACCAGTATCAACTCTATCTCTGCCCTATCTATTTGTGCTATGAAGAAGGGCCATTGCACGAAACGTCGCCTGATTATATATAGTTTTACTTTTGAAGCCGCAGTGTTATTGATAGCTGGTGGTGTTCCTATGTCGCCTTGGCTGGGTGGCCTCGACATGGAAGTACGCGAATGGATTGAATCGATCTGTGCGAAGCTTTGAGTGTAGCCACCTCGTGCGCGTGGTGAGTCTTCTCCGGGTACACTCCTGTTTCCTCCCACTTGCCAATGCAGGACCTTCATGCCGAAAGAAACCCGAGACTCGTGGAAGCTTTCCCGAACACACAAAGGTCATCCCTGTTATATAACGCCACCTGTAACCGGGCCGTCGGTGACAATGCTAGGCTGCTGCATCAGGTCTACAGTCTCGTGTCACTCCTTCGTCGTTACTATCTCGGTCATTGTCCCCACGAACTTCACGCTCTCGTTCCTCCAACCATGCCAAGGCCTCGTCCTAACACGATGACAGATCCCTGTCGTCCTCCGTGCTGTGTTCAACAAACACACGACGCGATATTTCCCTTCCCCCTTATTTCCTCCCACCTGATAGACTTTGGAACTTCCCCCATCAACCCCTACTCCCGAGATTCCTACAGCATCGCTGAGTCCAATACAAGTATACATTTGTTTAACGCAATATCATCATTACGTATCTTCTTCTCTGTTCTTGGCTTATTTGTCTTACATCCCGTAGGCTGGACGGATGCCCAACAAAAACGAACGGACACGACACGCGACGCACCCAAGAGCACCCCCCCACACTTGCCTGAACTCGAGCGCATGTTGCTCGTCCTTGGGCCCCTGCAGACAGGCGGAGAGAGACTGCACCCAGCGTGGGCTGTAGCTGCCGTCCTCGCACTCCAGGTAGGGAGGAGACCACACGAGGTGGGCCCTCTCGGCCGCGTGGCCCTTCCTAGAGCGGGCGGCGGTGGCGGCGCGTCCCTCACGAAGGCCCTGGGCGAACCCGGCTTGGTTCCGCGGTCCTCTCGGCGGTTGCTGCGATTTGAGGCCACCGGGACAAGCGGCCAGCGCCGCCTTGGCAGACTGGTCGGCGGGCAGCGAGGACACGTTCCGCAGCACGATGTCCCCCCGCGCCGAGCCGCGGTTCACCTGCAGGAAGTCGCCGGCCCCGTCGAACGCCAGCAGGGCGCGCCGCACGCGAGGGTCGCTCTCGAGGAGGCTGCTGAGCAGCGCCGGGTACCATCGCGCGTGCTGCACGGTCGCCTCTTCGCGGCGCTCCCGCCCAGCCTGCTCGAGCACGGCGGTAAGGAGGTGCGCGTAGTGGGCAAGAGCTTCCGCGGCACCGTCAGGGGCCGGCGTGAGACCCCCCCCTGCCGCACCGCCGCCGCCGCGAGTCGCAGCCCCGGGCACGCTTAGCTCGAAGCGCTTCGTGCAGCGCGCGTCGGCGAGATGGATCCGGTCTCCCGTGGAGAAGAAGAGCCAGATAGCCGCCAATGTCTGCGGGTCTAGGCCAGCGGATTCCTGCCCTGGAGATGATGACGATGATGATGAGGAGTGGGGGCGGCCCGCACGCTCCCTGTCACGGAGTCTCGCTCCTCTTCCTCCGGGGCTTGACTCCTGCCCGAGCAGCAGCGGCTCAAAGACAACGACGCCTTCACCATGGCCGCGGGCAGCGCAGACGAACACGGTAGAACACGCGGACAGCAGCAGCAGCGGCAGCAGTTGAAGATGACGATGAAGACAATTATAACGATGATGATGATGATGGTGGTGACCCATCCCCGCGCCGCGTTGCCGAAGGCGGCCCGCAGAGAATTGGCAGAGACCGCGATGAGACGCATTCAAATCGGCCTCGGCGGGCGCGGGGAAGGAGAGAGTCTCGCAGACTCGAGCTGAGCCACGAGCACTCGCGCGTCAATGCACGCAAGCGCGTGCGCGTGCGTGCGAGCGTGCGGGGAGCGAGAGAGCGAATCCCAGCGGCTGCGGGAGCTCACGCCCGCCTCGCTCGACTCCACGCTGCTGGCGTTACTGATGGTGCTGCTGATGATGCTGCTGCTGCTGATGGTGCCGGTGCTTACTGATGGTGATGCTGCTGCTGCTGATGTTGCTGCTGCTGCTGATGTTGCTGCTGCTGATTATGAAGATGGATACTACGGCCGCTGGTCTTGCGCTGTCGCCGATGGTGTTGGTTCCGTTTTTGGCGTTGCTGATGCTGCTGATGAGGATGCTGGCGCTGATGTTATAACTCCGGCTGCTGCTCACGTTAGTGCTACTCGTGTTGCTGCTGCTACTGCTGCTGCTGACGTTCTTGCCGCTGCTCCTGCTGTCAATGCTACTGCCGCTGATGCTGTTTGTGTTCTCGCTGCTGCTACTGCTGCAGCTGCTGCCACTGATGATAGTATTGTTGGTGCTGCTGCTACTAGTGGTGGTGGTGCTACTGCTACTGGTGGTGCTGCTACTGCTGCTGCTACTGGTGGTGCTGCTGCTACTAGTGGTGGTGGTGCTGCTACTAGTGGTGGTGGTGTTACTATTGGTGGTGCTGTTACTGATGCTACTAGAGGTGGTGGTGCTGCTACTAGTGGTGGTGCTGCTGCTACTAGTGGTGCTGCTGCTACTGGTGGTGGTGCTACTGCTGCTACTAGTGGTGCTGCTACTGTTGCTACTAGTGGTGGTGGTGCTGCTGCTACTAGTGGTGGTGGTGCTACTGTTGCTACTAGTGGTGCTGCTACTGTTGCTACTAGTGGTGGTGCTGCTGCTGCTACTGGTGGTGCTGCTACTACTGGTGGTGGTGCTGTTACTGATACTACTAGTGGTGGTGGTGCTGCTGCTGGTGCTGCTGCTACTGCTGCTGCTGCTACTAGTGGTGGTGCTGCTACTGCTGCTACTGGTGGTGGTGCTGCTGCTGCTACTAGTGGTGGTGGTGCTGCTACTAGTGGTGGTGCTGCTGCTACTAGTGGTGGTGCTGCTGCTACTAGTGGTGCTGCTGCTACTGGTGGTGGTGCTGCTGCTGCTACTGGTGGTGCTGCTACTGCTGCTACTAGTGGTGGTGGTGCTGCTGCTGCTACTGGTGGTGGTGCTGCTGCTGCTACTGGTGGTGCTGCTGCTGCTACTGGTGGTGCTGCTACTGCTGCTGCTACTGGTGGTGGTGCTGCTGCTGCTACTGGTGGTGCTGCTGCTGCTACTGGTGGTGCTTCTACTGCTGCTACTACTGGTGGTGGTGCTGCTACTAGTGGTGGTGGTTGTGCTGCTGCTACTGGTGGTGGTGCTGCTGCCGCTGCTGCGCGCCACCGAATGAATCGCCCGCGCTCGCCGGTCAGACCCCCGTTGCGCGATACGCGGCGATCACTGAAAGCAGCAACAGCGCTCTGCTCCAGCCTCTGGACACATCGTCACCATCACCACCACCATCGTCACCATCACCACCACCATCGTCACCATCACCACCATCGTCGTCGTCGTCTCTGTCGCCGCAACCACGGCTCCTCCGACCGCCATTTGAGCAAAACTGGCGCCGCCCGTGCGAAACGAGTACGAGTCTCTCCTCGTTTCGCCGGTCCAGCCTTCCCTCGTCTATTATCAGCCCTCCCCTCGTCCCTTATCGCGGAAGAGCAGACGGAGTCGCCAAGACATGCGGCATCCCTGCTCGGCGCATCCTCATCATCCTCCTCCTCGTCGTAGTCGTCGTCATCTTTATCACCGAGTAGAAAAATCAGGAATCCGAGACTGGGTTTATTTTTTTCTCTCAATCTGTGTGAAATAGTCTCTGTCTAGCTCTGTGTGTGTGTGTTGTTGTCCGTGTCTCCGTCTACGTTGCGGCGAACGTGAAATCCCTCGATGGTCGTTTCAAGCTGTCGATGTCTCTGCCAGGGGTAAGATGTCTCTCTGTGATGTGTCGCGTGCTTTGCGCATTCAGAGCTCACAGCATCACGCGGGAGACGAATGAGCGGTATGGTGAAGCCCGTCTCTCCCTCCCCTTCTCCCTCCCACTCTCTCCCTCTCACACCCCCCCCTCCACCACCTCTCTATCGCGTTCTCTCTCCCACTCTCCCTCTCTCACTCTCTCCTTCGAACACTCTCCCTCCTCGCTCTGGACCTCATCTCCCGCGCTCTGCCACGCTCTCGCATCCCTCTCATTCTTCCACCGCGTCTCTTCCACTCGCTCTCTCCAGCACTCTCCACACACAACCCCTCTCCGACTTTATCTGCCACTCTATTGCTCTTTCACTCCCCTATCGCTCTCTTTCTCGCCCGCGCCCCCACCTCTGCCTCTCGCGCTATCTCTCTGTCTTCAACTCTCCCTCGCTATATACAACATCTCTCTCCCACTATCTCTCTCGCTGCGTACATCACATCTCGCTGCGTACATCACATCTCGCTGCGTACATCACATCTCGCTGCGTACATCACATCTCGCTGCGTACACCACATCTCGCTGAGTACATCACATCTCGCTGAGTACATCACATCTCGCTGAGTACATCACATCTCGCTGCGTACATCACATCTCGCTGCGTACATCACATATCGCTGAGTACATCACATCTCGCTGAGTACATCACATCTCGCTGCGTACATCACATCTCGCTGAGTACATCACATCTCGCTGAGTACATCACATCTCGCTGTGTACATCACATCTCGCTGCGTATATCACATCTCGCTGTGTACATTACATCTCGCTGCGTACATCACATCTCGCTGCGTACATCACATCTCGCTGCGTACATCACATATCGCTGTGTACATCACATCTCGCTGCGTACATCACATCTCGCTGCGTACATCACATCTCGCTGAGTACATCACATCTCGCTGAGTACATCACATCTCGCTGTGTACATCACATCTCGCTGAGTACATCACATCTCGCTGAGTACATCACATCTCGCTGAGTACATCACATCTCGCTGAGTACATCACATCTCGCTGTGTACATCACATCTCGCTGTGTATCTCCCCCCCGCTCTCTCCCCCTTCCACCAACTCGCGCCCCCCGTGCGTCGTGAGCAGTGAGACACGAATCCAAAAATCACCTTTCAGTCACAAACACGAACAGCGCCTGTAGCCACACACGTCGTCCTCGTCGTCTTCGTCGTCATCAGCAGCAGTAGCCATGGTCCATCCACTGCTGGATGAATGCCCCCCCCCCTCTACTCTCAAGCGCCATCTCCGCGATGTGGAAGTCCTCTCGGATGCGTTCCACGGTTGTTGTTGTTTTTTCAACTGTAACCGACGGACAACGTTGGCTCAACGTTCAGGTAACGTTTGGTCCAACGGTCCCAACCACATACCGACGTTGGCCCAACGTCGGTATGTTTACCGGGGTGATATAGAACAAGAACAACAAGGGGGACGAGTGGAGTGACGAGCCACGTGTCACCATCAACCTCAACGCGTTGGTCAATAACAACGTTGCCGTTAAAAAAGAAGAAAATCAAGCTACATGAGACAACGTTTCGGGAAATGGTCCGTATTCGTGTGCTATGAAGAAGACTTTTTGACCGAAACGTCGCTTAATAAATATTTTATTTGCAGCCCGCAGTTTGCTCCACTGGTGTCCTGCGAGTTGCCTTGTTAGTTGCTCTTGTGCACCACTGCCAATGCAGCATGGTCATCATCATCAACATCATCAAATATTGAATGCATTCACATCGACTCATAACGCTCAAGACATGCCAATCGAATCTCTAGAACGTGTAAATCTACGTATGACGTGAACTCATCCCATCATCATCGAACAGACAAATCAGTGCGGGAAGGAAAAACCATAAGTCGTTTCACGCAGCACTCAGCCTCGTCCGTGCATTATACAAACACCACAGCAGTTCCTGTAGAACTGCGCTGTGGCATCCTCTTGCCTTAGGTCACCAGCAGCAACGGTGGTACGACCGTAGACCGGTTTCGCCCTTATCAGAACTCCTCGGTGCCGTCGAGTCTGCCGCGGCAAAGTCTGCCCCTGGGGAGCGAGGGTCCCCTCTTTTACACGGCGGGGGATCGCACCAGAATGTGGGGGTAACGTGCGTGAACATTCTATGCAATTGCACAAACGAATGTCAGATCTAGGACAACAATGGGCGAACAGAGGCGCGCTGACGAGACGGAGCAAAGGGGGAGAGATATGCAAAGCGGTCGCTAAAAACGAGGGGGAGGTAATCGTAGCGCATCGAGTGGAGTAGTGACACCCCCATCGAACTGTGACAATTCAGGAGAAGACAAAAAAAACACGATCGGATGATTGAATCGTGCCACGGTGGCTAGGAAATGTTAACTACCTCGCCTGGTATACAGGAGGCCGCGGGTTTGATCCCGACCCTGACGCTTGCTGCTGTATATTTGAAGTTTGCGGTGTCTCTCTCCGGTTTTTCCCTCCACATTCAGAATCAACATCACGCGTTTAGAGTATTTGGCTGCTATAAATGTCCAAGTGCTAAGCCACTTTGTTGAGCTATCATTTGTGATAGCCAGGTCGCTTCTGGGAAAGATATATTTAGCTCAGTGGGCCTTATATGGTAAAATTGTAATAGTTCATAGGTGTTTTTTTATCTAAAATACGAGAGCTGTCTGGGTGTTCTCTCTCGTAGATTTTCTCCAAAACCTGAACAGCCCAAGGCTCAAGGTCAAATAAGACAAAACTCTGCACATATGTCAATCACACGTACTGCCTTAAGAGAAAACAATAAATATATAATAGGCGACGTTTCGGGTAATGTTATTCATTCATAGCACGTAAAAAAAACAAGTTTGTTTTAATGTATATATGTTCTTTTTCAGGCGGTGTTATTAATGAAAGTGTGGAGTTTTTATTTATATATATACAGTCCGAGCAACTTGCACATCCTTTGGACGTGACAGCACCTCCGTTCGTCTCTCCCAGCCAGCCAGCCAGCAAAACGTGTTTTATCTTATAGAGAGCCCTGTCTCTCTCCACCTCTCTCTCTGCCTTCTCTGGACTGTATATCCCAACTTATCTCAATCTCTCGCTCTGTTTTTCAATTCCTTATTTCCCTTCATTTACCTCTCCCTCTAAATCCCTCTCCTCTCTCCACTTTATCTCACGCACTTATCCTCCCCGTACCTCTCTCCCCGTTTCTCTCAACTCTCACCCTCGCTCTCCTGATTCCCACCTCTCCCTTTCCCGTCTCAACCTCTTCTCTCCCCTCCGCAACCCTCTCTCCCATTGCTTGTCGCTTTCCCTCGCTCTCCTCTCTCTGCTTTGCCCTCTCTCTCTCTCTGTCTCTCTCTCTCATTCCTCTCCGTTCCAGGCCCTTTCATTCTCTTCCCACCCCTCTCCTTCCCGTCTCTTCCCCCTTCCTCCATCTCCCTCCCTCCCTCACTTCCCTCCTCTTTCGCATTCGCTGCGGGATACACGGCCCTGGGTAGAAGGTGGTTCGGGTGGGGAGGCCGTGAGCATGGTCGGCTACGTACGGTGCGAAAGAAGTTCAACATACATAAATGCGTGACG